CTAATGCCTTAGCCGCACGAACCGGGATAAATGCACCCATTGGTCCCGGTTCTGGACTGAACCGGGACTAATGGGCTTATCCGGCCTGGACCAAAGCCCCCTTTTCTACTAGTGTGGGATGGTGGGGAAGCTTAGATCCGAAGGGGAGTGGATGGAGGAGAGCAAAGAGGTGAGAGGAGTGAGGTTTGAGCTAGGGTTTTGTCTGAATAAGCTTTTTTTAGACGGTGGGTGGGGAGGGGGGGGGCTAGGCTAGGCCGCAGCCAATGTGGCAGGCTTGCCCGGCTGGGCCTCCCATATCCACCCCAAATATGGCCTGGATATATGGGGATTTCTGGACAGACTGAATAAGCCGGTCAAAATAGGGGGACTGGTTGAGTGACTTTGTTCCTCTTTTTTCTGCTGGACAATGACCTGGCTGTCCGCCTGGACGTTTTGAGGGGTCCAACTGTAGATGCTCTTATGGAACTGGTGTGGTTCGTCCTTTTTCAGACTCTTGGCGCACCCCGCACCTTATGCCCTGAAAACCAACACGACGGGCTACTTGCATCCCGTGGTCCCGGTGAGCTCATCCTTGACACTGATTCAACCTTGTTGATATCATATGAGTTCCACTCATTCAGCCTTGTTGATGTCCATAATTCATTGTATTTTCTGTCAGAATTTCGTTCTTCTTGCTATGCAAATTCCAGTGTTTATCAGTATGTCCTGTCCAAATTTCAGTTTTTTATTGTACAAAAATTTAGTGTTGATGTTCTAAGTTTTACTTTACTAGGAAAATTGCCCTTGTGTTCCATTGGGGATACATTGTGACATTGTCATGGCAGTGAAAATGGTAAAGAAAACATGAAAGATTTTGTGTGTTTTACTTCCTCCGCTCATCCCGGATCATGCCCTTCTTGCCCAACACTATGTACATCGAGTGTTGCGCGGGCATCATTACCTAATATCGGACCTGCCTGAGCTTCACCAGGAAGACCGACTGTCGTCCCTATAATGGCCCCACATGGTGGCAATGTGTAGCAGCCTCGGTGAGGGTATGGCTTACGGGATGACAAGCGCATTCAATAGTCATCAAGGCACCGACCAGGCCTCCGA